TGTGACTGAGCAGTCCTCCTGGCTACCCTTACCTTCCTGCTCTCCACCCAGGTGCCCATTTTCCCAATAAAGTTCCTAGCTTTGTCAGCACATGTCTCCTCAGACAATTTCCAAGAGCTCACTCTTGGGCCCTCGAAGGGCCCCCCCACCCCCAACTTCCTGCAACAGGATGGAAAGAATGACATTTTAGAGTTGAGAGGGACCTCAATTGTACAGTTCCCAAGAATCTGAGTGATTTGCCCAAGGCTCATGAAGCTACTCCATTGAAGAATCAATACAGAATCCTCTTTTGTTATTTCAATACTATTTCCATCCTGCTCACAGGTCTTTCTTATGAGGAAGGGAAAACAGACATTGGCTTTAGCAATTTAAGGTGGGGTCTTGGATAAAGAAAAAATAAGTTTAAGAAGTGGTAAGGGGAAGCCCCAAATAGTGTCACTGACCACAGCATCTACGAATAGTCCAACAGGGAGATGTTACTCTCTGAAAGCCTATACCAACCACCACCAACTGCATACTCATCTGTTTTCGGTACTTGTTTCAGTGTGCTGGTTCTCAGGATTATTTTTTCTTGGCATGTATGCATTCCAGCCAAGCGAATTTCTCCCAAACCAATCCTTCACTTTTACTGACTTCCATTATAAATTTGGCAGTTTTCAAGAATCTTGATGACCCAGTGTTTGAGGCCAAACTGTGGCATGTTCAATGCTAGTTCTGTGGATCTGGAAAGCAGTGTGAAGGCACCTAGCATTTCACTCCTTCTACTGCAGCCTTCCTATTCTTCCCTTCAAACATCTTCCATGCCAGCTTCCCTGGACCACAAGAACATCTCTCATGGCTAAAGATCTGGGTTAGCACCCAGGTATCTTTCTGTTTTACTGCCTTTCTCCAGCCTTGGTGGAGGTACTGACAAAGTCAGATACAGGGAGACTTGAAAGCTAGCATTCTACATTTCAGCTGGACTATTCCATTAGCTCATGGCTTTGGGCTCCAGAAAGGAGTCATTTCCCAGCAATTTGAAATACTAGATACCCGATTTCCTTACAATGTGACTGTCTTGTAGATAAGCACTGTGGGCCCCTGCTCACAGCTCAAGTAAACTCTGTTGAGTGAACAGGACTGACCAACCCTTCCTGCGGTCCCTGGCCATGTCAGCGCTGGCCTGGTGAAGTTTATCTTTGCCTTTCAGCCTCCTTGCTGAGGAGCATCTTACCACCTTTGTACTAAGAGTGAAATGCAATTAGGGTGCAGATGGCTTAGATTTTCTTTTCATATACATTTTTCTTCTGCTGCATGTGGGAAGCACTGTACTTTGAAGAAATTCAAAATTACTCCCAAGACACTTAAATGTTATTTTTACTCCAGCATGAGTGCACAAGGACAAATGAGCACTTAGACTGAAATATCCCGCCTGAGAGAACCACACAGCTTGTCCAAAGCCCTTATCCTGATGCTGTGGGCAAGTCTGGACTCACCAAGCCTTACTTCACCTTGGTATTTCAATTGATGGCACGTTGCCTTGTTTACGTCATAAGGGACGGATAGTCTTCCTTTGGCAGTATAGATTTTCCTCACAAGAATTCTGGTTGGCAAGAACTTTTCAATTAACCGAAGGAGGCAGCTTTATAGGCAGGAGATATATGATGGGTTGGGTTTTTTTTTTTTTAAATTTCTGTTAGAAAAAGTTTACCATGCATGTCTGGGACAGGGCAGAAAAAGCAACCTGATATTTGGAAACATCAGAAAACGTAATTCTCTGGAGGCTATTTGCAATGTCACTTCGCTGCATCTTTCCCTCAGTTCCGACTAATAAAAGGGTCAATTCCAGGATTTCAGTATCCTGAGTCCATCTAAGCCTGGGAAAGGAGATCAAGTAGATACTTCCTCCAACTCTAAATTTTGTGGTCCTAATGTGACCTTTGTCCCAATACCTAGAAATGACCTTGACCACTGGCATCGAGGCAGTGTACCACAGCTTTTCTTCTAGTGTTCAGGGTGGCTTTGAATCAAGTTTCCAGTTAGGCAGGAATTGAAATAGGAAAGAAAGAAAGGAGGAGGGGTGTCTAAGCAACCAAGTCTTCCCTGGAAGAGAAGAGGAAGCCATGAGAAGTGAATAATAGGTTTATTTGCATATACATAAGAGAAGAGCTAGCGTTGCTGGGAGAGAGGCAGGGCTTGTGAGGAGGTAAGGCTTCAGCAGAGGAAGGCACCTTGACAAACAAGGACTCCGGGCTCAGTAAACCAAGCACAGTTGCAACCTTCTTTTGCCCCAAGCCCACTACTCATTTAACTCATTTACCTGTTGTCAGAAAGACATGGGAATCACTTACAAAACCAAGTGGAAAATAAAGTGGAGGGAACCAATTTTATAAATCTGGACCAGCCACTTAAAACTTTATGTACAGGATGCAGAAAAAAACCCATAAGAGGCACCTTTGAATAGTTCAAACTTAATCAAGTGCCATCTGCCCTGTTAGTAAAAATAGCTATCACAGAAGAATCTGGGGATTAAATGTGCCTCCAAAGTTGGGGCCTCAACCCTACAAGTTTAGGTAAAGGGACCCCAGAAGTGGGAGTTCCTGCCAGGTTGGCAGGACCATGATCGCAGACAAGAGATCTCTGGGGATCAGAGCGGAATGGCTACAGAGACACTCATTTCTCAGCTTGATTCTGTGGGTACACCGTGGGGCCGAGCTCCTGGGAAGCAGAATCTGGGGTGTCTCCCAAGGATGGAAGGCATCCTTGCTAAAAACATCTTTTCTTGGACTCTAAAGTTGAACCAGAATGAACTTTGACTTCTCTTCTGAGTATCCAAATGAGATAAAGGCTCTTAACATGAAAAGATCAAGTTCTGCATTTGGGAACAGTAACTACCAACGGGCTAGTTCTCAAGAGAACTTTACCTACTTCTTTTTCTCCAGGAAGATATGTGGATTGTCCTTAGAGAAGTCAGAAGTGGCCAGCTACTGACTAGATGCAGTAATATAAAACAAAAAGATTGGGCATGCTGACTAGGAAGGGGAAGAGAAACACACACTGAGTAACTATATCTTTTTTTTTTTGTATATAAAGGATTAAAAAACTCCAATTTAATAATAAATTTTGGAAAAGCAAATGTAAAATGACTTGGGCTTATAAAACCAGAATTTACAAGTATCTGTGTATAGTTAAAGACAAATCATAGAACCGTTCTGATTACAGATTAAAGTAATTCTACTGGTTACAGAATCACTGACCCACTCCCCGGTGAGATTACAGTTGTTCAGTTGTAAGCATCTCCACTGCTACTCACACTCCTTTGTCTCCTCCTCCTCAAACAGTGTTTTCACACCCAAGTCACGGCACACACACCAGGCACGTCTTTCTTTTCACAAAGCTTAGCAAGATGACCCCTCCTTCCAGCTTAAATCAACCACCTTCCTTTATAAATAACCCCCCTTCCCCTGGTCACTAAATTCGTCCACGTCTTCATCCTCCACAGGCTCCCTCCCCTTGGTCCCAGTTCCAGTAGGACATGTCCATTCCTAAAAAGAATGCTGGATTCACACCAGTCACAAGCTAGGACCTTTCTAGGCCAATGGCACTGGGCTCCTAGCTGTCCAGCACCTTTGTGCTCAAGAAAGCTGTAGTGTTCTCTCCCCCTCATTTCTTCCCAGCATTCTCCTGCCCTTTCATGACATTCATGCCAACAAGCTATCTGTCATTCTAGGTTTCCCTGTCTCGTACAAGCCTTCATTAATAACCAAGTGACTGTAACTACCACGCAATGCTGAAAAGATCCTTGTCTTTTCCTCTCTCAATCTTTATCTACCTTCATGAACAGAGTCTCCTCTAGAAGCCACTGACCCCTCTCTCCACACTCTCTGCCTCCTGAGAGACCTACTCAATAAGAATCTGTTACTCTGAGATGCCTACTCTGCAAGATCCACTCACAACACCACAGCCTCTGTGGACTGCAGGCCGGAGGGAAGATGCCAGGCCCACCAATTCTGATTGATCATTTCGGGTTAAATTAAATGAATGCAGTACCACACTCTGCTCTTCCCTACACTTCTTCATTAACACACCTATAACATCCACTTTAGTAGTCTGAGCACAAAGCTCTTGAGAGCTGTCTCTCCCCTTCTTTCCATAGGCCGAGATGCCACCACGTGGGGCCAAGAAAGTGCCTGCTGGCCTTCTGAGTGCCTCTTAGGAACTAGCACCTAACTTGTTAAAGTGTTACCCACAACTAGTTATATTTTACGGCCCCCCTACAGTATGGTGTTGCACCATTGCTCAATTTGCAACCAGTGAACTTTATCAGGGATCTATGTTCTCTCAAATCTGATCTTAAGTGCTAACCTCTCATTAGCATGAAAAACGCTCCACTTGTAGTACACCTACTTTAATGCTCAGTGAAGAAGTGCTACTGAGAAAACATGGAAGATTTCTTTAAGAAAGGAACCATGCTTTCCTTTCCAGCACAGCCAGTGGGCTGAAGGCCTGTTTCCACTCGTCTCCATTCTTTTAGCGTAAATCCACTACTCACTGGCAACACAATCTGATTTAGCAGGCACTCAACATTAAAACCAGAACACCTATGGCATGTAAACGAGGTGAGATGGCAAAAAACACAGATCCATAGAGCCTTTCTGATGGAGAATGGAAAGAAAAGTCTGAGACAGTGAGCTCACGCGTGCCAGTGCACACACATGAGAACAAGTCAAACATCTCAACAAGGATTTACTGTAACAGAATCTGCACAGGTACACTATGCTCAAGTCTTGCTAGAAAAGACTCACTTGCATTTTTTTCCCTTTCTTAACGCAGCACGACCAATGGCCAGCTAAACATCAGACCCATTGTTGAAGAGAAGGGAGCAGCATCAGACACAAAATTTCAGGCCCTGGTTTTACGTGCCTTTAATACTATTTTTCCTTTCCTCTGTGTTCACTAAACAGGATTTAAAATTTTTGTAAAGCTACTTTTCATAGCTTTTGGTTTTCCCTTCGTATTTATCATGTTTTTAATTTCTTCTCTGAGGAGGAATTCTCTGAATCTGTGTCTTCCAATTCGATTCGGTGCCTCTTGAGGCCACTATGGCCATGAACAGCCCTGCTGCTGTCTGTGTCTGGGAGATCAGTGGGGTCCTCTCTCGTTCCAGCACTGGGGGACTCACAGGCCATTTCAGACCCACAACAATCTTTGTGTAGGAGTATCCCTGTCAGGGACAAGTTATCGTGGTCAGTGTCCACACATCCTGGGGAAGAGCAGGCCAGTGCCTCCAGCTCCGTAAAGTTCTGCCCATTGCTGTGGGGGTGCAGGGGGCGGGGGTGCAAGCGCCCATTGTTGTGGTTGGCACAGATGGTTTCCAGGCTCCTCTCCTCACTGTCATCAGACTGGGTCCTGAGACAGTTGCCAGACCCGCTGCTCACAGTGGAGCCAGACGCCTTGGGGACAGGAGGGGAGGGTGGCTCCTCGGCCCGGCTGCTCAGGGCCTTGCTTAGGGCCTTTCCATTGAGCTTCTTGGTTTCAAAAGTGTGTTCTACAGTGCCACCATTGTTGGAGTCCTGAGAGGCATCCTCGGGTGCCTCTGCCCAAGGGTGGCCACTGGGCTCAGGGCCTGGGCCATGGCTGGGGCTTATGGCAGAAGTCCCTTCTTTAAAAGCGTCCTTGCTGCGGCCTTCCGTCGGCAGGTCCTGGGTCCTCTGGGCCATGGCCGCGTTCAGACAGGCTTCCTTGCTGGAAGAAGGGGCTGGGTTGTCCTTGTGGCTGGTTCCCGCCCTCCCTTCATCGGCCTCCCCAGACACGAGCGAGCTCTCTCCATCTTTGTTGTTTGAGTAGGAGATGTAGGAGTAGCGGAGCCACTTGTAAGCTTTGTAAATCTTCCGCTCAACTGACTCTATGTCGGAAGTTGGCGACGCTCGGCTCGGCTGAATCTCCAGGGTGGACGCGCTCCGCTCAGGGGAGGAAGCGGGGGAGGAAGAGAGGTCATCTACCTTGATCTGGGGGTAATCATAGCTGTCCTCGCCGATGTAGGCGTCGGCGGGCTTGGGCGGGGCGCCGGGCCTCTCTTCTCGAGGCGTCTTCTGGCGGCGCCGCACGGCGTTGCGCTGCCGCGTGGCCGCGCGCCGCTCGTTCAGCTCCTCCTCGTCGCCGGAGCTGCTGGAGCTGCTGGAGCTGCTGGACTCGTCTTCGGGGCTGGGAGACCGTGGCCGCGGGAAGAGGTCTGTGTCCAGCTCCACCTCACAGGCGTTCTCTTCGGAGTCAGACTCGTTGGAAAGGGCCAGGAGGCGTTTGTCCTGGTAGCGCCGCAGGGCAGACAGGCGCTGCTGGCGAGACGTGGCATCCTCGCATGAGGGCAGCGGTGGGGTGGACGCCACCACGTTTGTGGCAGTGACCCGCAGGGGCCCCAGGTGGAAGGCGCCGTCGGCAGACTCATCCACTGTGGGCGGGGGGGAGCGGGGCAGCGAGGCCGAGGACTCGGAGTCGGTGTAGCCCGAGCGCTCACTGACCCCTGCGTGCAGCTGGAGGATGGTGCTCTCGCTGAGGTCACTGTCCGAGTCAGAGCTCCAGCCCTCGATCTCGCGACGCACCAGGGAGTCAAAGAAGGCCATCATCCGAGGGTCTTCCTGCACAGACTGGTTGGCGTAGTCGTGAGACAGGCCACTCCCACTGTTCAGCACAAGGCTGATGTACTCTTCGTGGGTATAGAGACAGCGAGAATCATCCTCAATCCGACCATCCAGATCTCCGGTACATCCTGGCTGTTTGTACGGGCTCCAGATCTGCACAGAAGGTGAAAACAAAACCAAGGAAGCCTGGTTGGAATATATTCTAAAGCTGTTGGCCATAAAGAGCTTCCCCAGATTCAGTCCCTGTCATTTAGCTGGGACTTGCTAACCAATGTTACGCCCAGGATAAACACATACCATGACTCCCACTGCCCGCCTCCCCTTTAGCTTCCTCTACCAGTAGCCTGGAAATCACAATAACCCCCTTCATAATCTCAGAGGACAAAGGATGACTTGAAGATTGGCCAATGTGTTCAAAACTCTCAGAAGATTGGAGAGGTACCACTTTTCCAAAGTGAAAACAGACCCAGCAGTCAGTCCTCTGCAACAGTTAATATTTCAGCCTATAACTACTTCTCCCCAAATGCAACATTTTCTATTTTTAACTAATGGGAATTGCTTACTGGAGCTTGGTAAGAATAGCCAACTGCCTACACTGCAGTTCCCTCTTGGACATGCAGGCATCAGTTACCCAGGAAACTGGGTTCTCTTAACCAGGGATCTGCTGGCTTGCTCCCCAACCATTCTGTTAGCTATTGGAATAGGCAGGACTCACCCTCCAAGCCCACAGACCCATCTCTTAATACCCCTCCACTCCACAGTCAGACATATGTACTCATAGCCAAAAAGTAGCAGAACTAGGATTCAAACTAAAATCTGTCTGAATGCAGAAGCCCAGCTTTACGCGCTGAATTAAGTTATGCAAAAGTGGAGTTCAAGGTAATTAAGCTGTCACTGCAGATGAGAACGATTAGCTTCACCTGACTCTGCCAGACTCTTCCTGAGCAGCACAGAGAAGTTCGGTTATATCAGCTGGTAGTTATGGCAACTCAGATGAAATTCCAGGTGATTTTCTTGCTTTAACAGGCTGGTGTCTATCTTTAGATGGCACCCAACCCAGAAAGTAGTGGCTTCTCATTCCCTGTCCTCTATCAAGCCAATGGCTTTGCTTCCCCAAAGTTATCGAAGGGCAAATTTGCCTTCCGGTAAGCATGCTCCTGAGGCCCGCTCCCTCCATGCTTTATTTTGATCTCCCAGGAGGCAGCATCTCTCAGGAGGATCCCAAGTTCAAGACGGGCTGAAGAAACCTTCTAGGCTAGGTCTCTTCACCAATTCCCAATTCAGATTCATTCCTCCTTCAACTTTGTCCCCTGCCTACAACTCCTCAGATGTCCTCCCACCCCCAGCTTCACAATCTCACCCAGGTGAGTGTTAAGGCAGTGATTCTCAAACTTTGATGTGAACGTGAATTACCTGAAGAATAATTAAAACGCTGACTCCTGAGCCCCACGCTAAGAGATTCTGATTCAGTAAGTCATGGGGAGGTTACTAGGGCTCTGTACTTTTTAATAAGCATTCGAGGAGTTGAGAAAGTGGAGGGACCAACTTTTAAGAAACACTGGAATATATTAATAGTTAGCATAAAATAAGTTGCAAAAAATAAAGGCTTTGAAACAATTCTCAAATTCTTTGTGAGATTCAATGTTTGGGAAACATTTAGATATGGTCTTTAGCAACAGGCTCAAGCTATAAATGACAGTCTTTGCAAACAGATGTCTCTGGGAATAAAAGTTTGGTGGCTTAGGAAAAAACTGAAAGGTTCAACAAGCAAAGCCCTTAGGATGTTTTGGAGTCATAGTCTATACGCTGGTCTAAATCTCACTCCCCCAGTTAAAAATGGAAAATGTTACTAGCCATGTTATATAATATGAAGATAAATCCTTATGTACTTCCCAGAAACTCAGAATTTAACAGAAGAACAAAACATTCATGGTGAGATGCTTGCTGGCTCAACTATCCAACAAGCCTGGGTTGGCTGGTCTATTACCCAGCCCCCTACATCTTCACTTCAGGAATGAAAATCATAATACTGCAAGTTGGCATTTATATGCGCTCTGGAATGTATTAAGCTGAGGTAGACTTTCATTCCTGAAGCCTGGAGTAATGGAACAAAATGCTGGATCAGAAGGCAAGAGGCTTGAGTGCGGGTTCCCACACAGCTCTAGTTTGCTCAGCTCCCCATCTAAACAGTGAAATTAGACGGGTCTCATGCAACCCAAAGATTCAGAGCAAAACAAAAGATCCATCCCAGACGGCCAGTCTCCAGTCCTCAAGGGACCTAAAGCAGAGCTGTGGGAGAGGCAGAACAGGTAGGAACCTGGGCCACTCACATGGCCCAGAGCAAATGACTTTACCCTTGAAGCCTCTTTCGTCAGTTGTAGACATGAGAAGGATGAAATGATGTAACATATACCAAAGTACCAATAACTATAGTGCTGCCTCCTTCCTTTGGCAAATGAATACCTCAACTAGAGGTTTTAGACTCATCCTCAAACAGACTTTTGAACACCAGAGGCACTGACCATCCCAATTATGTTAATCCTTATCCTTAAAACATCAATTTCAAACATTTGTGAAATTATCTTTTTAATACTGAAAGTCAACAACTCAGAAGTGAAGCAATGAAAACACAGCTTCCTGTTGCATGTGAACTGTGGCTAGATATCCCTCTTCGTGGGACAAGGTTCATGAGAAAAGGAGGAGGGGCGTACAGCTTTCTCTTGAAGCCCAGTGACAGTGACAAGTTAAGCTCAAGAGGCTGTTAAGCAAACAGATGCAGTTCAATTCTTATTAAAACATCATCGAAATGGAACAAAATTTCAGTAATAAGTGTTCTGACCCACACAGGTGACTGTGACATGCTTGATATAGCAACTCTAAACCCTTTTCTCTCTCTGCACTATTATACTAAATTCAGACATTTGGCTACCTACCAAGAAAAACGACACAGACAGAGACTTAAGTTGTTATTCAGGGGTGCTTCACACTCTCTAATCTGGATTCCAAGACTCCCTGGGCCCACCTGTGGCCTACACCTTCCCAGCCTTACATCCAAGCCCTCCCCTTTCTGTGTTCTTCATTTTGGCCAAATGATCATTTCCTAAACAGGTCCTACACTTTGCTGCTTGTGAGTATTTACTCATGAGCATACTGCCTGGAGTGTAGTAGGTGGTCAATAAATATTTATTGATTCAGAAAAATAACTAAACATCCAATCTCTCTCTTTAAAATGGCCTTCCCATCTTATTCCTTTCTTTTCTTTTGCAGACTTTTTCCTTCAAAATCTAGTTCAAGTATTACTTGAGATAGTTCAAGGGTACTGAGATTATCCCAGATGGGGCAAAAAAATCTCTGCCTCCCCACACAACAATGTTTCTATCTCTTACGTACTTTGCATTTTTTGTTAACTTCTTTTCTCTCTTACTGGGTTATCAATTCCTATGGGGACCTGCATTACCTATCTTTGCATTCCTCACAGGGCCTGGCGCAAATCACACACAGTATGTATGGTTCACAAATACTGGGTGAATAGACAAAGGGGAAAAAAAGTCAGTAATTGTTCCATCTTTCTCTCTCTTATGTTTAACTACAAAATAACCCCATTTTTTGCTAAGTGTGCGCATTCAAAGGGATATAAGATCTGTTGTGGGTGAGAAGAGGCTGGCCCTGACTCCTTTCCTCCAGGCTAGTAAGGTATCAGTAAAGGACACAGAGACAGGTGGAGAGAGAGGCTGGCTGGATTAAAGTATGGTGGAATGATGCTTCTTCAGCCACTGACCCTCTCAGCAAAAATACAAGAAAGAAAGAGATTTTTTTTCAAGTTTTTTTTTTTTTTTAAAGGTGGACCATTTTTAAAGTCTTTATTGAATTTGTTACAGTACTGCTTGTTTTATATTTTAGTGTTTTCGCCATGAGGCAAGTGGGATCTTAGTTACCCGACCAGGCACCAGACTGGCCCTCTCTGCATTGGAAGGTAAAATCTTAACCATTAGACTGCCATATAAATACCTGAAAGTGACTTTTATTAAAACAGAAACTGTCAGGCACAGGTAACCTGTAAGGCACTCCTAGGTGTCATTCACTTGAAAGAAAGGAGACAGACTCGAAGAGCTGCCCAAGGGTACTAACTGCACTGACTTAAGGTTTCCAGTGGCTGAACATGCCTCCTGGTGGGGCAGGATTCAGACCCCACTGGAACCTGGAAGCAATGAGTTCTACAGTTTAGTTGGAATATTTTCACAGAGAAAATATTTTCTCATTTAAGAACTTGGCTAGTCTCCAACCTCTGACCTCTCGGGTAAGGACTCCAACTGACTAAACAATGATTGGGGAGACTTAGCACAGAAGCATCCTAGGGTGTCAGCCAAGCAGGAATCTCTCTTCTAAAGGAGATGCTCAAGCAGAGCTCCCTGAGAAAGAGAATGATGTCAACAGGACTATGGAGGACATGCTACTGTGCCAACCTGTGAGTCACAGGCTAAAGGAAAAGGGAATGCAATGCAAGGGACAGGGCGGTTCAATGATCACCCAAGTGAAGGACTGCTGAGTTGAACAAATACGGCAGGAGCACCAGGCCACCTGCTGCCTTCCCACTAGCATGGGAAGGGTGGCCAGACATTGAGAAGAACAAAGAACGGGGCCCTGTCCTGGCCTTACCACTACTAGCTATATAATTAACCCCAAACAGTAAATTTATAATTTACATCTCATCCTTTGCAAAAAGAAAAAGTCAATAAAAACAATCTATGTCTGGGTCTAGCCCTGTTTATTTATGAGTAAATAAATGTATGCAATCATGACAGTCAGCCCTGATCAACAGGACCAACAAAACCTAAATAAAGGGAGTTGGAATAACAACAAATAAAAATATTGACCGATACTCCAACATTACATTTCTGATAGTTTCCTCTGCCTCAGACATAAGTTGGATAGTTTTTTCAAAAAGAACAAAAGAAAATGAAAACTATCCATTTGTTACAAATCAATCTTCACATTTCCCCTGAAATCTCCCTCAAGTTTTCAATGCAAAGTGAGGAGTTTTATGTTTTGCTGGGGGGAAGAGGGAGGAGAGATCACCTATCCTTATTTAAAAGTCAAGTTATCACAGGGTCCTCAGGAATTCATCATTTGCCTTGAGCCCTCATTCTCTCAGCTGTGGAGAAGGGTTACTAGCAGTCCACTGGAATGTGAGTGATGGGCAGTGGGCCATCCTTCCGTGGACACAGGCCAGGCTGGGTCTCTCATTTACAAGTTCTAAAAATATCCCTTGGCAGGGTTATGTTCATTCAGTCAATGTGCAGTTGATGCAAGTGTTCATCCTCAATCACAACCACATGAAGTGGCTTTTGATATGTCCTGAGACAAGTTAGCTATGGTTCTGGCAGTCACTTGTTATATCTGTGCCATATGAGGACAGCAATTAATGCAAAGTGCATACCCAGTAACTGAGGGGATGGTAGCTTTCTCCAGATGGGGTTTGGAAAGCAGAATTCATCAGACTCCAGATCAAATGCCACTGGAAATGCAGCAGCATACAGGTAGTATCTGGTTTCAAAGCCTCATGACTAATTTTTAAGAAAAGAGTCCCTCCTGAAAGGAAGGTTTAAAAACCACTCTATTTATAACATCAATTTTTCCATATTTTGTAATATGTCAAAATAACTGAGAATTCTGATAGACCTTTAGTATGTTTAGCTATGACGTGCTACATACATTGTTTTATTTTTTTCCATTTATGAACTTGCAGTAATTTCTCTCAAAGGACAAAAGGGGAAGGTGCCTCACCTTGATAATCTTTTCAACACCAGAAGAGCAGATCATGTAGGTGTGGGGGTTAAAGCGGACCTGGTTAACAATAGACCGATGCCCTTTCAGCACCATGAAGGCTCCGTTGACCACCCTGCCAATGCCACCTGGGGAGACAGAAGGAAACAAAATCAATGACGCAGCAGGTGGAGGTCAACAGGCTCCAGTAACGGCAAGCCAACAGTTCTCAACCAGAGCTGCCTGTATCACCAGCAGAATGCTTAATCTTACAGATAGAGTTGCTATGGAAAGAAGGAAGATGAAATATCTCTCAGCATATGTGCTCTTACCCAGAGCCTTTATTTAGCCTTTAAGCATTGCCCACACCCACCCACTGCAATTCCATTGTCAATGAAGCTACAGCCACTTAAAACATTTCTCAAGTTTTTGATCCCTAGGATAGAATCCCAGTGTTACCTTAGAAAAGGCCAGTCATAAGCAAAATGAGACTGATCTGCTTGGGAACAGTTAGGCAGCTAAGCCAGGGACATGCAGAACCAGAAGCATATAATTACTTAAGTGTACCCAAAACATCACTGATCCAGTTGCCCTCAGTTTCTATGATGAAAGTAGCAAACAAAACATAAAAAAATCTCTGGGAAAATAATGGAGAAAATTCTTTCTTCACTCTGATAGGGAGAACTAAGGATAAAGTAAGGAGATACGGGTCACCTTCATAATAAGCAGAGTCCACGTATGGAAAATTACAGAAGGTGGGCCTTGAAGACATCATGTATGGAGGCCACTGATAGAAAGCAGTATCTTATGGACCACCCTGTAGGCTTTCTTTTTCAATGATGAGAAAAATACCAGACGCCTAGAACTTGTAACACAGATGAAAATGTCATCATTTATGAATGTGGAATAATCTTAAAGGTTCAACTTCACTGGTAAGGGCATCACACTCCCACAGGACACATGCACCCATGTCTTAAAAAAGGTCACTAAAGCAGCCATCAACAGCTCAGTACACACAGACTGACATGTGCTCCTGGTCAACTGTCAACATGTGATGCACACAGATACAGACAAATGAGTGCTCATATATTTCAGTGGGGAGAGCCTTCGCAGACCCTGTCAAGGAGCATGGCATCGCTGGGGCACAAAGTACCATGAGCACCACCTCAGCTCCTCGTGCGCCATCCCAGGGCCAACTTCACTCAGTTCAAACATTCACGCCAAACATTTCTCATCTCACTATCTGCAGGGAAAATGGCTAGAACAATATCCCTTTTCCAGGGATAATCTGGTTCTGCAGAAGATGTCTTCTGCTTTTGGCCTCCTGACACAATTCCTCTTTTACCTCTCCTGCCTCATGAGATATTCCTCTCTACTGACATGTATATAACGTATCTTTTTTTTTTTTTTAACAACAGCAAGAGGTTGGAGACTGCACTGATTTGCTTCTGAGTGGTATCAACTTGGCTAGCACCAAGTGCTTACTCTACTTGCCGAGTGACAAAAATGTCCTTTCCCTAAATTTCGCCCCATGTGTGACATATTAGAATAACTCAGGATGGACAATACACTTATAGCTATTTGTATTTCAGCCCAACATCATCACGTTTGCTAATAAACCATAAAAGAGAAGAAAGTAACTAGGACATAGGTGTGTTTTTATGGAGACAAAAGAGTCAGGAAAAGTTTAAGCATCAAGGTAGGCTGCCGTGATGGCAACACCTAGGCATCCTGAGCGCAGTAGGTTCATAAGGTGGAGAGGGAAGAGGGGAAGGTAACCTGAGCCTAGTCAGAACAAAAAGAAACTTGAGAGAACTAAGAGGGGTACATGGGAATCTAAAACAGTTGTCTCAGTACAAACCCAAAGAGTTCCTTTGGGTCTGTCTCTTTTCTATAAATGGTTGATTCAACAAGCAGCCGTCCGGCTCATGGATCTCTTCTCAATCCTGCATTTCAACAGCCCACTCCTATCCGTACCTCCACTGGGGTGGTCACTAGCAAAGAAACTTATGTTTGAACCTAGTACCAATCTCGTTTAATCCTTCTGCTTCTAAGAAAAGGAATTTAAGTGACTCAGAGAATTTCAGTGACTTCTTCCACCTAGCTTGGCAGAGCCAGAATTTGAACCAGAGTCTGTCTGGTTTTAATGCCCAATATCCTTTCCATTGTATCAGTGGCCTTTAAGAGATGAAAAGGTTTGAATAGGGATAGAGTCAGACGGTCATAATCAATTTCTAAATCCTTCTGGCAGTCATCATATAAGTTGGTTTTCATTTTAAGTCCTAAATTTAATAGGGGGTGGGGTGCTTCCCAGGTGGCGCTAGGGGTAAACAATCCACCTGCCCACGCAGGAGACCAAAAGAGGCGGGTTCAATCCCTGGGTTGGGAAGATCCCCTGGAGGAGAAAACGGTAACCCACTCATGTATTCTTGCCTGGAAAGTCCCATGGACCAGAGGAGCCTGATGGGCTACAGTCCATGAGGTTGCAAAGAGTTGGACATGACTGAACAACCAAGCACACACAAAAGGGGGTAAGGAGAAGATTCTATCCAATGGTATCCTGAGTGCAAGGCCTATAGTATCAGCACAGGACATTTCATCCCACTGCTAACACCAAATAGTCTATGAAGTAGAACTGGATCTCGTGCACACCTGGAACCTGGAGTGCAACGCCTGAACTAAAGCAGGCACTTGCTGTAACTAAAGCAGGTAACCACTGTTGAATGGACAGTGTTTCAGGAGAGCGCAATTCTAGAATAAGTACCACCAAAGGAGGACAGACAGAAGGTCTCATGTCTTAAAGAAACAGCTACCATAGAACCAAGGTTTATTAACTAAACCAATCTTTCTGTCAAAGATGACTTAGAATACAATTACACTAACTTTCAGATCTAAAGAATAATTGAAGGGTATCAGTGCTTGAAAAATTCAGACCACGGAAAATCTGTTTCTACTGCTCTTTCACATGCTGTGACTGCATTTGGTTTCTCTTCTTGGCAGTAATTTTAATACAAGACAGTTTCTCCTTCCTACCCAAAGGTGTACCCAAGAAACCTGAAAAAGAGGAGGAAGTCAATAAAGCCAAGAGACTGAAGGTGAAAATAGGTTCAGAAAGAATTACTGCTGCCATCTGCATAAAGTAATCCAGGCTATACACAGAATCACAGCAATGAATAGGCTTCAGAGAGGTTCTCTATAGTCCCTCTCCAGTTTTTAGGTTTCAAGTGATTGAAAACAGCTGCTACTGTATGATTTACATAGAATGAGTTTAGAGAAGAAAATTTTTATCAGTTCTGGAGATGTGTATAAATCAGATAGATTCCTTGAGTCTCAAATGACTAATGTCAAGACGCCAATACCAGTAAGAACTTGGGTTCTCCTCTCCTCCATTATCTAGGCAGGCAGAGCCTGCCTATCAACAGCAAAATCAAGCTGAAAAAACTTAGGCAGGGAGTATTTTTGACAAGAACTACATAACCTACATAATCTCCCTTTAGGGTCATCACTCATCTGTGGGTAAAAGGCCTGGCAAGGATCAACTCCACCCCATGGTTACTGAGCCGAGTCACAACACTATTACTAATAATGGTACCAATAAATAAAACAGCACGTACTCAAGAATAAGATCCTTGGTCATTCTTGAGCTGTCATTTGTTTATAAAGTTCTGTACAAACCAACGGTCATTTCTCTAAACCATCTGCTCTGGCTGGCTCAGCCAAACATGCTGGTACCATTTTGTAGGTTTCTTTTTAAGTTGAGGTCAAAGTTTCCATATACCCATCTTTCCTTTGTTTCAGAAGGGATACTAGGGAGGTGGGGAATGTTATATCTTATCTATTCTACGTCTCTATTCTACTGCAAGACCTCAGAAAAGAAAATGAGTGAGAGGGTCATCTCATAAGATTCCAGCATTAGTGATTCACTCACTATCTTGGGATTCTAGGAAACACAAGGGACTCAGAAAAAACACCTTTTTCAGAACCCTGATAAAGACCTTTCTAAAATGCCACGGCCAAATGTTCCCACAGAGAAGACAAAGGACTAAGCCTGCATGTGCTCACTGCCTTCTTTTCTTAACTGTGCTCTTTTCATAAGACTCAGCCAGAGATTCATCCCCTCAAGCCTCTCAAGAGGGTCAGGACACCACTCCCACTTCTTGCCAACTTTAGTTACTTCTGTTTCTTGTCAATTTCATTCATTTTCAACAAAGTCCTCCAAGAATGAGGATGTTTTCAACTCAAAAGGTTGAAAGCACCCTGGTCAGGATTTCTAGATGCTTCGGTTTAAACAGAAACTTATCTATTGTGCTAAGGCGTGATCCTCAGCAGCACTTGGGACAGACTACAGAACAGGACACAGAAATATTTTGTTCTGAAATAAACTCCGAATCAAACTGGGTAAAATGGCAGTATTAATTTTCTTGTTACAGTCTTGGGATTTTCCACTCCTTCCTAATAGTCTGTTAATTAATGGGTAGGACAAACACCTCTGTGAGAATGGGAAGGAGAAACAATGGACAACACAGAGATTAAGAAGGGGGGGGGGGGGTCTGAAAGCAAGAGTGAGGAACCAGGAACAGGGACTAGATGACTGGAAGGGTCTGTTGGAAGATAAGAAGTTAGGACAGCAGGAGATAGATTTGTGTTTCAAAAAAATAATAAAATAGAGCACTGGGTCCTCATAAAGAGGGTAAACATCTTTGATCTTCCAAGGTTTATATGTTGACACGTCCAAGGATAACAAGAGCTGGGCATATAAGGACTTAACAAATGATTGAAATTAGTGGAGAACACGGTTGAGTGGTGCTTCTCAGGTGGCTCAGTAGTTAATAGAATCTGCCTGCCAATGCAGGAGACACAGGAGATGCAGGTTCATTCCCTGGGTTGGGAAGATTCCCTGGAGTAGGAAATAGCAAGCTATTCCAGTATTTTTACCTGGAAAATTCCATGGACAGAGAAGCCTGGCAAGCTACAGTCCACGGGGATCACAAAGAGGTGGACACAACTGAGCACTCATGCAACTGTTAAGAGTGGTATTTAAAAAACTTAATACTCAGGTTAAAAAAACACAGATTATGGTCCAGGAAATGCTTTCAGTATTTCATGGGAGAACTTCATCTGGTAGCTCTAGAACACACTGATGGGGCAA